GGGGTGGCTCCGTCCCTCCTGGGGGCTGTGTGGCTGGCTGCAGGCCAGAGGCCATTTCACTCCGGAGCTGGGCCAGGTCATGCTCCGAAAAAGAGCGGTCCCGTTTCAGCGCCACCTCCCCACAGGGCGACTCTTCCTCCTGCAGACACGTCAGATAGAGCCCTGCCCTGGCCATGATGCCCCCAGTGCCCTGCCCCTCCCTGACCGAGGCACCGGACCCAGGGGTGCTACGAGGTCCACAGACACCCTAGGCTGTCCTCTGCCCACTGCTGGGCTTCCCATCTACTGGGAAGTTCATAGCAAGTGCCTTAAAAACCCAACCCTCCCCTGAGGTCTTTGGAAAGTCCCGGAGATATGTACAGGAGAAAGCCGAGCCCACCAGGAGGACCACCACAGGAGTCATCTCCTGTCCCCTTGGGAAGGGGAGGGCTGTGGTCAGAGGGCAGCCAGAGTGACAGCTTTTCTTATCAACCAGGGACTGATGAGCCTGCTGGCCCCAGATGATGGGTCACATGTATTCTCAGCTCTTTTTTGCTGTGGGAAGAAGTGGTCCYAGGCCACTGTCCCAGCATCCCAAAGCTACTTCTGAGCTGCCAAGATGGGAAAAGGGCCCTAAGCCCCCCTGCCACCACTGGCCAGTAGCCCTGGCAGTGGATGCCCCCCCCCAGCTGAGCACTGTGGCCCCCTCTGGTCCTCAGGAGTCTCTGGGGCTCTGACCTCAGATGTGGTCATCTCCTCCATCTCAGCCAAGGTGGGTGCCTTGAGCAGGACGCGGGGTCGGGGGCGCTGCACACTGCTCCCAGCATCGGGAACGGACAGGTTGATGCAGGAAGTGGACTTGACATCGCCAGAACAGGCACTGAGGATACAGGGCAGAGAGCCGAACCCTGGGAGGCAGGAGGCCAGGCAGGTGGGACGTGAGTGGGGAGGAGGCGCACGGGACCCGTGCGGCCAGCCTGGTGGACAGGGCTTGGCTCAGTTCCCTACTTTACAGAACAGGAACCTGAGGGCTGGTCAGTCACTAACAAATTGGACACCCGACCCGAGGGGCAGTGCAGGCTAGCCTCTCAGAGGCAGAGAACCAGGACTGCAGATGGGCTCCACTCTGACCCGGAAGATCAGGTCTCAGACATCTGAATAAATGCCTGATTTTCCCAGACCCCAAAACTTCGGTTTTATTTTGTTTTCTGCCTAATTGTTGAAATTTATCATAGCAAAAAGTACAAAGTCAGGTCAAAACCCAGAGTAAAGTCAGGGCACCTTGAACTTCACAAGGCCAGACTACAAACTGGGACGTCCTCTGCCCAGGAGCTCGCAGGGCCGACACCGACTCCTGATTAGTGGCGTCACCAGGGGAAGTGGGGGACTTCATCCAGGGCCGCCTGGGGTCTCTTCTCCCATCACCCCTCCYCTTGCTCACCACGGGTGCCCAAGCGCTGGTCCCCCACAGGGCGCAGCCTCCGCTCCTGCTTGATCTCTTCCAGGATCTTCTCATGCAGGGTCCTCTGCTTCTGTGGCAMGGGGCGCAGCCTTCTCTCAGAGACCTGCAGAGAGGACGAAGCACGAGGTAGGAGGGACTTAGACAGTGACAGGGGACACTCAGAAGTGGGGAGATACTCAAGGTTCACAGGACACAGGGCGCTAACTCTTGGCTCTCCAGGAAGGAGTGCGACCCAGAAGAGCTCTGCCGGCCACAGGCCTGGGGGGAGGTGACCAGCACCGTCCTCCTAGAAGGACGGAGGCCCGGGCCATGCCCAGCCTTCCAGCCAGGAGACAGGGAGCAGAGCCCACCCCATGGTTCGGCAGAGGTATGCTCAGGCCCCCCTTGAAGGAGAGACACAGGACAGCAGCAGGTCTGGAACGCCCTGCAGGAGGCACAGCCTGGGCACCTGCTTCAGCGGAGGCCGGGAGCGGATGAAGTCCAGGATGAGCTCATGTGCATCCTTCTTCACTCGTGGAGGGATGTCCCCATCGACCTGCCGCAAAGAAGCCCCAGCTCAGACCGGGGCTGACCCGAGTTCGTAGGCATTGTCTGCTGGGGACTGGGGGGCACACTCAGCCCCTAACACAGCCTGGCCTTCATTTCTGACCTGCCTCTGACGGCATCGGCTCCCTGGGACCAAGCTGTCTCTAGGACAGGTACACGGCAGGTAGTCAGCTACCACCCCCAGTACTCACACCCAGCCATTTGATCGCTCTCTACCTGGAATTCTTCTAGAAAGGAGCTTGCTAGTACCCACCTCAAAGGGTTGTCACGGGAATGAATGAACCTGTTCGTTTAAAATTCTAAGAGTAGCTGGGTGCTGTGGTACTCGCCTGTAATTCCAGCAGCTAGGGAGGCTGAAGCAGGAGGATCACAAGTTCAAAGCCAGCCCTGCAACTTAGTGAGGCCCTAAGCAACTTAGCGGGACTCTCAAAATAAATAAATGAATGAATGAAT